GTCTTTTTATTTTATTAACAGTTTCTATCTTGAGGCAAATTCTTCCTCTTCTGTTTTATTTATCATGCGACCACTTCTATGCTATTTACGCAGGAGGAATTAAGTTAACTCGTCCAAATGCAATTAAGAATTGTAGGGCCAAGTTACGTTCGCGTACCGTGCTGGCGACGGCGACATCCGTCGGTTGACAGAACGAGTCAGGTCCACGACCCGGCTCGCCCTTGGTGCCAAGAACCAAGCTGGGTTTGTCCCATTTGCCCCAATTGAATTTCATCACTTGGTGCAGAGCAACATCGGTGACCCAGAGGGCTTCAGGAGAACCGTCCTTAGCGTTCCTAGCCACAGAAATGCCGTGTGGTAGAACAAAAAGCTTGTCTCCGAAGGCATCCACCACTTCACCGGTGTAGGGGTCCACTTGGACGATCGGCGACTCGACGAACCTTGGGCGATAGTCCTGGTAGATAAATTTATCATCAAAGGAATTGCTGTCCCAGACATTTTCACCTCGATGGAACACAAACAGTTGAGAGTCTCCGTCTTTCGTTTCAGCCACGGCGATACCACCCACCTGAGGACGAGAGGGAAATTAATTTGGTAAGTCACCATCTTGGGAGACCGAGTCATTTTTTAACGCACTCACTTCACCGCAAGGATAAAAAGGAGGGTGATCTCATGAACAAAAAACAACACAACACAACAAAGTGAGAGGCGTCATTGTCAAGACAAGAAGATTTTGTCCAAATTTACTAAAGGATTATCAAGGTCTCTTGTTTACAGCTTCATCCTTGTCTGTTTACTTTAGCTTCATGAGCAGCGACGTGAATCACCTTCCCCACGAAGTGAGCACAGAGCCGGTAACTTGAATGTGAATTGCTTTATCATGCGGCAAATTTATACAGCATCTACCGCACAAAGTAATGTAAGGAAGCATTCAATTGTGTGCGAGCGTATCGGCTGACAGAGGCAAACAATCCGTCTACGCGTGCCACGTTCAAGCTATTTCTGATTACATGTACCAGGCTACTGTATGGCTGATTCCGATCCCAAATAGATGAAAATGCCACAAAGGGAATATTCAGAGAATGAGTTACTGCAGGCTGTCTCTCAGTCATCAAGCCACTCCGTTAGATTCACCAGGAAGACCAAGGTATGCCGTAAGTTGGCAACTTTCCAAGCCAACAAACTAGCGATTGTTTAAACGAGTATAGACATTAATTTCTAGGTAGCAGGAAAACTTTATTCTTCGCCATCAATGTGCACCCATGTACACAACGATAGCATACAGTCGCCCAACGCACTTACTACTCAAGTGACCCAGCTGTGAAAAACCTAGCGGCCTGAGTAGGTTTCGAACCTATGACAGCTAAAGAAAAGCTTTAGCACAACCAATGCTCTAGCTACTTGAGTTACAAGGTCCCATCAGAAGCCGTGTGTTTACTCACACTTGGGCTAATTGTATTATTCAAATCTTCCATAGCTCCACTTTTGGTATTAATATTGTTGACAATCAAAGGCCAGACAACATACACTCCAAATTAAAGGAGGTTTGATCGTGAGAAAGGAGCACGATTACTGGAACAGTGCTGGACACTGTCGGATACAATG